ATTATACTATTATGTATTTATTATACCATAGTATATTATTATTATTATTATTATTATTTATGATTTTTTCTTTTTTTTCTTTCCTTTTCGTTCGAATCTACTCATGAATAAGGAAATCTGAATTTGACTAGAATCTCATAGTCATAGATCTTTAATACAAAGTCAAATTGGTGTAAATGCTGAAATTAATTGGGATCAAATCAGAAACCCAAGATCACGCTCAAACAAAACCAATCCCAGGATTCAAGCCAGGATTGATTCTGTCTATTTTCTAAAAATCTTCCTAGGACTATCTATAAATTGAATTGAGAATCAAAGGAACTGGACAAGGAGGAATTTTTGAAAAAAATATATCTGAAAAATTTTTTGGAAGTAAGGTTTTTGAGATTTTGATTCTAGGAGTGTTTGGGTTTGAGATTTTGGGTAATTAGGAAGTTTGGATTCGTAGTTTTAGTCTTAGGTTGTTGGGATTGGAGTTTTGGAGTTCTGGGATCAAGGTCGAATTTTTGAATTTTTTTGGATTTTGGAAAATTTTGGGTTTTCTAGGTTTTTGGATGAATTTTTGAATGAAATTTTCCGATAAAGGTTGAATTTTTTTGTGAGATTCTAACAATTTTTCTAGAAACCAGTGAGTTTTCCAATTTTTAGTTGAACTTTTTGGCAAGTTTCCTAGAAACTGATGGATTTCCTAGTTTCTAGTTGAATTTTCAGTGTTGTTCTTGGGATTTTAGAGAAAGTCGAGGATTTGGAAACTAGAGAGAGAATGGGTAGGGAAATTTTGAAGAAAACGTTGAGGATTTAGTTTTTATACTACCACAGTATGACACCATTTTGGAAGTCCTAGGATCCACGTGCAACCCGCTGATTTGCGTATTAACCCACATATTGACCCGACCCGAATCACAAATTTTTCTTTTTCTATTTTATTTTATTTTTTGATTTTATTTTTTTTAGCTTACTATATTTTCAATTTTATTATTTTACTGATTTTATTTTATTATTTTATTATTTTTATTTTGTAAAAATTCTTTCTGTTGTTTCATTTTTTACAATAAATAATTTTTATCTTTTCAAATAATTAAAAATATATATATAAAAAAAATCTTTTTTCAAATAAAAATCCTTACAAAATAAATTCATGAATTCTACCAAACTATTTGATAATTTTCAGGAATTAAATATTAAAAAAATCCACCAAACTATTGAAAAATTTCATAAATTAATTTTAAAAAAAAGAAAAAATATGAAAATATAATTTTTATCCTCTAAACTATTAGAGGAATACTTCAAATTAAGTCCTACTAAGCTATTGGGAGACAAAATGAAATTCTTAAATTTTTAAATCTTTTTACAATAAAATTTCACGAAATTATTAGAAGATCTGCCTCAAAGTAAGTCCTATTAAACTATTAGAAGACTTTACTGATTTTTTTTAATAAAATACTATAATATATCTGACGATGGAGCCTCTTCAAAGTGGGACACTAGTCTCCATGAATACTCTTGAGATGAGAGAATTATCTTAAATTATTACCAAACTATTGGGATGATTTTAAGATTAAGTTTCAGTATTAAAGATTTTGGTAAAATATAAACATTTTCAAGGCTTGGATAATTTGAGACCAAACTGGCACCATCTTTTGATAGCCGTTGTGAGGGTGCTATAACCTTCCTCACACATAATCATATTCTCGAACCTAAACTCTGATTTTGTAGATCAGATTCGATCAGGTGGCATATCACACCTAAACAAAAAAGATGGTGGTAATTCCCTTTAATCCATGTTTAGTGGTAGATTATGACACTTGACAATTATAATAATCAAACATAATGTGTATTAACTTGTTTGGGAGAAATGAAAAATGAAAGATTTTGAAATTAGTGTAATAATGGTAATGAAATCCATTTGATATTATACATACCAAAATTAATTTTAATTCATTTAATCATCTGTTAATTATTTTAAAATAATATATCTTCATATTAAACACAAATACACACACACACACACACATATAATATAGCTTAAATGGTGGAGTAAATAAATAGGTCATAGGTTAAAAAATTAGTAATTGGCAACTATTTTTTTTTTTTTTTGCACATGTAATTTAAGAGTTGAATATTTACAATTGGAAAAGAAGGTAACAAAATTATTCTATGATGATGGCACTTAAAATTTTATTACCTTTAATATGAATTTAATTGAGAGTGATTTAAGGTAAATAATAAAACATAAATGTAATTAATTTATTAGAAGATTATTGATAATTTTTTAAAATTGTCCACATGTCAATTATATAAGTTATCGACGTTGGACAATTTCCTTTTTTATCAAAGGCTTTGGCTTTTATAAATTTATATAAGATGATCTGTAATTTTTGAATGACTAATTGATTAAAACAAATTTAAGAACCAAATCAAGATCAATAATAGTATTTTAAATTGAGAGTAATTTATACTTGACAATTATAATAATCAAACATAATGTGGATTAACTTGTTTGGGAGAAATGAAAAAGGAAAGATTTTCAAATTAGTGTAATAATGATAATGAAATCCATTTGATATTATACGTACCAAAATTAATTTTAATTGATTTAATCATCTATTAATTATTTTAAAATAATATATATTCATGTTTGACATGTCTATATATATATAAATGGTGGAGTAAATAAATAGGTCATAGGTTAAAAAATTCACAACTAAATTTTGCTTTACACAAATATTGTAATTAATTGGTTATAATATTACAATTTAAAACAGGTGACAAAATTATTTTAATGATGCAATAAATTTTTAATTACCATTAAATATTAATTTAAATAAAATATTTAATTATATAAAAATAAATATAATAATTTATAAGTTAATGAAAATTTTTTTTAAAAAATTACATTTGAATTATATAACTATCCACAGAAAATTTTCCTTATACTATCAACTATAATTTTATATTTTATCATGATATTTGTACATTAATGACTATATATTTAAAAAATTAAAATACCAAATAAGATCAATAATAATAATTTTTTAAAATAATTATACTACAATTGTAATAATAAAAGATAATTTGTATTAGTCTTTTTATAGAAATGAAATAAAAAAGATTTGTAATAATTATATTAAAATATATTAATAAATTAATATTTATACATACCAAAATTAATTTTAATTCATTTAATTATCTGTTAATTATTTTAAAATAATATATATTCATATTAAACATGTGTGTATGTATGCATGTGTGTGTCTATATATATATAACACATAGCTTAAATGGTGGGGTAAATAAATAGGTCATAGGTTAAAAAATTGGTAACCAAATTTTTTTTTTATACAAAAATGTAATTTAATAGTTGGATATTTACAAGTGGAAAAGAAGGTGACAAAATTATTCTATGATGATGGCAATTAAAATTTTATTACTTTTAATATGAATTTAATGAAAGTGATTTAAGGTAAACAATAAAATATAAATGTAATTAATTTATTAGAAGGTACATGATAAAATTTTTAAAATTATCCATATGTCAATTATATAAGCTATCCACGTTGGACAATTTCCTTTTTTTATCAAAAGCTTTGACTTTTATATATTTATATAAGTTGATTTGTAATTTTTGATTGACTAATTGATTAAAATGAATTTAAGAACAAAATTAAGATTAATAATAGTATTTTAAATTGAGAGTAATTTATGCTTGACAATTATAATAATCAAACATAATGTGTATTAACTTGTTTGAGAGAAATGAAAAAGGAAAGATTTTGAAATTAGTGTAATAATGATAATGAAATCCATTTAATATTATACATACCAAAATTAATTTTAATTTGTTCAATCATATATTAATTATTTTTAATCATCTATTAATTATTTTAAAATAATATATATATTCATATTAAACATGTTTGTGTCTATGTGTGTATATATATAACATAGCTTAAATGATGGAATAAATAAATAGGTCATAGGTTAACAAATTGGCAACTAAATTTATTTTTACACAAATGTAATTTAAAAGTTGAATATTTACAATTGGAAAATGAGGTTACAAAATTATTCTATAATGATGGCAATTAAAGTTTTATTACCTTTAATATGAATTTAATTGAAAGTAATTTAATGTAAATAATAAAACATAAATGTAATAAATTTATTAGAAGATACATGATAATTTTTTAAAATTATCTACATATCAATTATATAGATTATCCACATTGGACAATTTTCTTTTTTTTTTTAATCAAAGGTTTTGGCTTTTATATATTTATATAAGATTTGAACCTTTTTAATGTAATTACTTCTAATCTATTGTTATTGTTAGTCAACTATTAGTATTTAAATTTAAATTTTTCTTTATTTAAAAACTTTATTAATTAAAATTATTGTTAATTAAAATTATTATCCATATATCGCACGAGTTTAAATCTAGTGTACAGTCAAATACATAACAACTAGATAAGCATAAAATAATAAAAGATTTTTTGTTTACATTAATGGCTTTCATAATCATTATAAAGTATATAATATTTAAATGTATTCTTAATACTAATAAAAAAAAGTCACAAAACAAATCTTAATGATTTACAAAACTAAGGAAGCCCATCCAAAAGAAAATTTCAAAACCTGATTAGTTTTAAACAAAAACAAACAAACAGCCACTTTAATTTAGTGGATAGGGCCAGATGTTTCTTGGCATGCCATTTTCAAACATATTAGCTTTGCTTAGAACCTTCACCAAATCTGAGTAGAAGGAAAGGTGGCAGAATCAGCCTCCGTTCTTGGATGGAGAAATTAGAAAAAGATAGGGATTGTCAATTTCTTGCTTGTGCAAGAGTGTAGAAAGCTACTGCCTAAACACCAATAGAAAGATTCTTTCGGTATCAAATTCTTCTTCATTAACTTAGTTGAGTTCAATGTATGCATATTCTTGTTAGTTTTATATTGAAATATACATAAAATAAACTCAGGTTTAGTAGATTGTTTCATATATTAAGAGGTGGCATTCAATAAATTTGGGTTCAAATTTAAATACCTAAAATTCTATCCTATTCTCATATTATGGCCTTTTTTTTTTAATAAAAAAAATACATAAAATCACAAATCACAATGAAATCACCCAAACCCCAAAGCTCATGAAGTCAAACCGAACAATATCAGACCCATTTCTCTGTACCAACACACTTTTGTCGACATCCCTCCCACCACAAGACATTTTGCCGTCATTAAGCCCCAAATTATTGCAAAGCTTATTGTTTTTTGATAAGTTGCAAAGCTTAATTAAAACAAAGTGGGTTTTCCACCATACTAACATTGTACACATAGCTAATTCACATCTAATTCTTCCTTTTTCATTTGTCTTTAATCTACCTTTCAATGTCCATAACTGCATATCCTTTTCCCATTTGAATAAAGTTTGTGGGCTCCCCACGTTTGCTCTCCTTCTGAGATTCAACATCATCAGAATCTTCTTCCAGTTCCAGGTCTTCTTCCTTTGTCAATGTGGAATACTCAGCATGTTCTCCATATAATTTTACCAAAACCAAATAGAAAGACATAGCAAAAATGGTAATAGCTATCAAGGTCCAGCTAAATTGAATATTTACTAATGATTTAGCTCGGTGTAGTGCCTCATCGCTTGAACACCTAACCACCTGGTGACCTTCTTCAGAGTGAATGAAGCATCCTTTGGGAATCAACTCTGGAGTCCAGAGCATGTACCCCATGACTATGAGCCACACACCTTGATACAAAATACTGAGAGACCTAATAAAGCTGACTATGAAACTCTTAGGAAGCCCAATTCCCATGAGGGTGGTGAATAAAGAAACAACAATGGCACTCTGTAAAAGCAAGTGATATTGACCCTCAACCCCCATGTGATCAGCTGAATGAAGGTGGAAGAGGAGTAGCTGTTGGGCAAAGGCTACTGCTCCAAGAAACTGTGTTAGGCTATACTTAGCTTTGGGGCTAATTTTATCAAGGAGTATAGCAAAAGCTGCATAAATAAAGAAAGTCGTTGATATAGAAGAGTGCTCAAAGTTATGGAGATGATTTGATGGGATAGTTCCATCAGGATCAAAAGGTTGGTGGCTTTCAGGGCCAATAAAGAGCTCCATGGAGATGGAGATGGAGGAGCCTACCATGATAAGGAACAGCTCCAAGTACCTTAATTTTGATGTGGGGAACCATGGAGAAGATGTGTAGGAATTTGGATGGAGAAAATGGAGCCTGATGTGATTAAAGAGATGCCAAAAACCAAGTGCAAAGAAGGCAAAACCTGGTGCAACATGCCCCACTAAAGTACCCATATCTTCCTATGTCTGTATCTCACTCTTTTTTCTTTTTTTTTTTTGTAATTTGGACAAGGCGAGGGAGAGAACGAGAGGAAATAGTCGCAGGGGGGAGAGGAGGGAGAATTTGGTGAACAAAGTTGAGGCAAATGGTTTAAGGGAGCTAGGTTTTAAGGGTGGGCTTGGTTTGAATTTCTAAGGACTCCAGAGCCTTCTATTGGGGGGTTTTTGAAAATTTGAACTTTTGACGAGCTAAGGCTGTTGGCTAAGAAATGAGCCTTAGCCAGCCGCCACCTGTTTTCTAGAATACAGAATTTTCATAACAAAATCAGAATAGGAAACTTTTAGTAAATGACAAATATGTCATTGGCGGATTTCTGAAAATGAAAAAACGACCAGGTTGTTTCAATTCCATGGGTTTGTTGCTCGTCAAATAGTATTAATTTTATGAGAGGCATGTGTTTCATGCCTGTATCATTTATCACATTTAGGCGTTCCAAAAAAAAAAAAAAGCCAATAAAATCTTAATTTAATGATAAGAAAAAGACTTTTAGAATCTTGATATGTTTTAAAGTTAAGTGTCATGTATTTGAGTTTGATTCAATTTTATGTTAAATTTATTTAGTTATGTTTTAGTTTTGGTTTATTTGATTATTTAATGATTTTTTATGTGATATAATATTTATTATTATTGTAACTTATATTTGTAATTTTATTAAAAAATTAAAGATTTGCTATTGCTGTTTAGGTGTCTTACTCATCTATGCTTCTTTATTAAAAATTTAAAATACTGCTTTCTTGTTTTGTTGGCATAGGATGATTTTTAATTTTTAGTTGCTATTCACATGATATGCGGTTAATCATCATCATAGTGTTATGTATTCACCCACAATTGATAATTCAGATGGTAAATAAAAGAGCATTTTTTATCAATTAAGGTTTGATTTTCGTAAAAAATATTTCAAAACTAAAATTTTAATATATCAAATTAATATAAAAAAAGTGCATGGTTAACGTCGCCATATTACTTACATTAAGTGAAGCCCAAACTCAACTTTCAATACTTAAATGAATAAGAGTGTCTAAAGGAACTATGATGGGTATTACAATTTACAAGTTTAATTAATTTATCATTGAGTTGTATAAATTTTATATATTATTAATAAATCATATGATAATATTTTATTAATGAGTAAATACCAATGTTTAAAATAAATATACACAAATTAAATATTTTAAAAAATTTATTTATTAATAAAATATTATCATATGATTTATCTTATTAATAAATTTCATTATCTGATTTATTAATAATATATTAAATTATATATTAATAATATATCAAATATAAATTTTTACCATTAATTGAAACATATTTTTATTCGGAGGATAAATTATTTTCCTTCAAAAAGTGACTGGTCCAAATACTAATGAAATAAAGGGAACAAAGGAACGAAGTCTTGAAAAAAGAAATTTCCCAAAGTCAAATAAGTTATGCCTATCGATTAGGCCTACGTACGTAAGAATAGTTGATAATTCTCTAGGATTATCAAACCTGTACGCATTAATTTAGCACCATTTTTCACCAAAATTAAAATCATTACATAATAATTTTCCTACCAACTAAAAAGGAAATTTCTTTACCTATTATACAAAGAAAAAAATCAAAATGATAATTTTGGATATCAATGGGTAAGTTTATCACGTCATTGCTTTGGTTTGATGGTGAAAAAAGGGTGTTCAAGAAATTGAAAGGTGTAATTATAACAAAATACTTTTTAATTAAAATTATATAATCATTTAAATTTATATTATTTTTTTATAATTAATTGAGTCTTAAATATTTATTTTTATTAATTGAATTTTTATTAGATTAAAATTAATTAATTATCAACATTTATTTTTATTCATTCAAAAACTCAATTAATAAAATAAATATTTAAATATTTAATTGAATAAAAATGAATATTCAAATATTAATTTTATAAAAATAAATGATTGAATATTTAATTGATTATAATAAAATGATAATAACTTAAATAATTATTTAATTTTTATTTAAAATTTTTTTAATACTTTAGTCGTATTGAAAGTAACCTTATTTGTTTATTTTTCGTTTTTGGTTATCTAAATACGCCTCTTGCATGATCAAATACAAACAATTTATGAAAAGAAAAAGCAAATGATGGAGTCGTTATTACCTTTTTTTTTTTTTTTTAATTATATAGGGTAATGAATTGAGTCCATTCGCTTACGCGTGCACGCAATTTTCTTTGCAAACGGCCACCATGTACAATTCTTCTGCCTTGGAATTCGAAACCTCAAGTACAAGACATTTTTCTTTTCGGCCTTGGCTCAAGTACAAGATTAATGTAAATAAAACTGTAAAACCAAGACTAACAGCCAGTTCTTTTTTTTTTTTAATAAAAAAAATATATATCATAATACTCCGTTTTATACATTTTTGACCTGTCTTTTTCCCTTCTTCAACTTCCTCACCCCTATTCACTTTTTTTGTTCACTTAACTAACATATAATATTATTTAATTATTATTAATTTATTATTTTTCATACTTTAATTATTACTCTCTATTGTTAAAAAAAATTATTATTATTCTCTATATATGTATAATTATATATATCATATGTAGTTCTAAGCCATATTAATGAATTGATACTTTCTTTCTTGCTTTTTATTATTTGTTTTCATTTTGTTGAGTTATAAAGTAAAAATAATATATATCATAGTTGATTTTTTTTTTTTACATAAATTGATTTTAAAACGAAAATAAATTGAAAAGTAATGAATTTTTTGTAAGTGGATTAGTATTAATTGGTAATTTTAATAGTTTAATAAAATGGTTGATATATTTAATTTTAATACAAAACAAGTGTGAGAGTCTAAATAATTTAAAATGATCATTTATGTGTGGGTTTTACACATCTTACTAGGTTAATGTGATTTAGCAGTTATATAAGTTTTTGGCATGGTAAGCTTTTGATAGTGAGGATTTTAGGATTTAATAAAAATAAGTTAATGTCCCTTTTTCACTTCTTTGAGTTATGGTTACTACCCATTAAAAGCCACCAATAAAAGAAGAGTAAAGTGGAAGACTTTGCTACTCTAAAATCTATTTTGCTTTCGCATATCAATCATAGCCACTTAAACAAGTATGTCATAGCCTTTGCTTATTTTATTTTACAATGAAATATTTTGGCATGCTAGGAATCTAATGATCGTAATTACTTTATCTAAATAGACCTTAATATTTATATGCTTTCGAGTTGAATTTTATGTGCATAATTTTTTTAATGATTAAAATTAATTTTAAATAGTTCAAGATCCAAGTTTAAATGCAATATACACTACTTATAGGACCTAACGAAGTATATTTAGATTTAGTATCTCAGTTAAAGTAAATGGCGAATCTTTTAAAAAGCCTAGAGTGCCCATGGCCTCCTCAAAAATTTTGAATTTTTTTTATTCATATGTTATTTTCATAATAATTTTAAATTTTTTTATAATAAAAAAACTAGTTTGGCCCTTTCAAACTTAAATTTATTGTGTTGATATATATATATATATATTATTCTTTATTCTATGTATTTATATTGGATATATAGCTACAACAGTTATTTGTATCTAAATATTAGAACTCTTAATTTTAAAAAAAATACAATTTTTTAACTTTTATTTACTTATTATAAATGATTTTTAATTTAAAATTAATAAATTTGTCAACAATATATTTTCACAAACATGTAAATTTACGTTTAATATATATGCAAGTATTATAATAACTAAAACTAACTTGACAAATATCTAATTGTGACTTTTCTCAACCAATTTTTTTACTAGATTTTGCATGCTCATTTTATTTAAAAATTATTACTTATCAAAATAATTAATATGATTAGTTTAAATACCTTTTCATTTTTCATATGTAAAAATACCATGTAAAAAATTTAAAAGGTTATAATTTATCGTATCAAAATATTTACTTTATTGTTTTAAAATTTAATTTTTTATTTAAAAATATATTTTTATGATTTTTTTGCTTTAATACTTTAAATATTAAATATGTCAAAATAATGTATTAATATTGTAAAAAATATAATAAATTTATTTTTAAAATAATATTGTTAGTGATTTATAGTTAAAAATCATGAGACCAATTATTTAATGTATCTGTTTTGTTATATAGATATATATATATATATATTTATGTATTAGCATACTTACAATTGTAAGTTTTATTATTATATGTTTCCATATATTTTTTTATTATTAATAGATTAATATATTTTGAAAAAAAAAATACTTTAAGCCCCCATCAAAATTAAATGTCAAGATCTGCCACTGGTTGGAGTGGTCCATTATATACATTATGGTTGAGTATGCAAATTGAGAATTTTGAGCAATTAATTATATTTTTGGTGTGAAAAAATTTTCATTAATTGATATAAGTCTTTGGCTGCCAAATTACTCACTTATTGAAATTAATGAAATATTTAATCATTCTATGGTTACAAGATGGTTATTGAATTATTTTATGCAATTACTTGTTTAAAGGGCGTTATGTATACGGTAATTTGTTTTGGTATATGAAGTATCATATTTGAGGGTGTACTGATCTAGAAAATCTATCTACCTAAAGGGAATAGTTTTTTTTTTTTTAACTAAAACTTTTTCATATTAGCTTTATGTGAAAAGTTCCTACTCGCATATTGCATTCTCTACCCAAAAAGAGTTTGTCGTGATGGACTAGGACTTTTTAATTACGGTTAGCACATCATGAATCGTTCCTACCTTTTTTATATTGTTGACCAACTAATGTTACATTTTTTTTTTAATCTTAAACAGTGACTTTTACTATCAATAACAATCAAACCACTATTAAGGTTCTTCATGGGTCTAATTATAATAAATGGTGTAAACACCCCATTCTATCTAGAAGTCTACTTTTGATTTTTTCTAATAAAGAATAAAAACTAAAAAATTAAAAAAACTAAAAAAAAATGAAAAAACAAGTAGTTGAATTTAGGTAAAATTGTTGAAACTGGGTTGTGTTTGAGTTTGGGTTGAATTTAAGATTTCTATGTGAATTAGAGTTCTTTGGATTAGAACCCTATAGACCTTAATTGAGGTTGGAAGGGACACGAAACAAATCGCAGAAACACAACAAGCATAAAGCAGTTAAAAATTTTTCAAAGATTTTTTTTAGGTTTAAAAAAAAAAGATTTTTTTTGAAAAAATCCAAAAAA